ACACTAATCGCTACATGATTCCTCCTATTTTAGAAGAAATAAGAGGAATATCAAAAATATTTGTCATATAGTTTCGAAGTCGAGGAGTTTTTATCAATAAAGTTATTTTGAAGACTTTCAATGATGATGAGCCTCAGTTGTACTTACCACCTACAACAACTGAATCTTCGAAAGAAGCAGCATCAGTTTCAAAGTCAATTCACGCTATTTCAGTCCCTCACAAATCTACCTCTTTCGCAAGTTCATAAAAAAAAAGAAAACAAATCAGGTAAAATTATCTGTTATATATTATATTAAATATTTTAATTAATATGCACACAATTATTAACATTTATTACAATTTAATAATAACTATTTTACTATTTGATTTTTTCTTAACTGCAGCTCAGAAGAAACAACAAGCAAAAGCAAAAAAAAGTAAATATATGAATAAATCTTTGTATATATGTAAATAAGTTTGTATATTTTTATTTATAAAAATAGAAATATAAATAAATGTGTATATATGTGTTACATATTTACAATAACTTATAAACACACACACATATATATATGTGTGTGTGTTTTTATATATTTTTTTAATTTAAATTGTTGTTAATTAAACTACTGCATATCTGTGCAAATACACGGGTAATCCACTGGTAATATCTATATTAGAGGTTTTTTAAGAAGGTTTATTTTTTTCGACATTTCTTTGAAAAAACTTTTGAGGAATTTGGTTAGGAATCTTGTGTGGACTAATGGAAATATATATATATATATATGTATTTTTACTTGATTTATATGTTGTTGTTTATTATAATTTGGCTCTGGCAATTAAAAATTATTTTTTCAAGGTTATATATGCTTCCGTGCAAATTATATAGAAACTAGAGATAACTCTAGATTTACTAAAATTAATGCAGAAATTTAGACAAAATTGGGAAAAAAAAAAATGGTGGAAGGGAAAAGACAGAGGAGCTTGACAGGGAAAAGACCGATTCACCATCTTGATGTTAATTAAAATTGTAGAGAAGCTTGACAGAGACTTTCTCGAGGAGGTTTCTCCTTATTTTCATCCGGGTTTTGCTGGTTCTGTGCTCTTTGTGGGAATCGAGACTTGTTGTATGAGTATCTAGTGCCTATCATGTGTTTGATAAAACTCCTGACTCGTTTTGTGTCATTTTATTTGTCTTTGTTAAAAGTTAAAATTTCCTATATAATTAAGTCAAAATTTTCCATAATTGTAGAATTTCTGTCTGATATGCCAAAGTATTGAGCTTATGAGTAAAATTTTTGTTCTCTAATATTAGTGAAATTTAAAAAGATTTATTTTTATTTTTTTTAGCTTTTTGCTCAACAGATTGTTTGTGTGTTAATTGGATGGTTGTATGATGTTTTATTATGAGGGAAAAAAATGAAAATTTAAAATGTCATTTGTGTTAAGTATTAATAGCACTAGAGCAGAAAACGAACTTAGTATGCTAAATTTAGTATTTTCACGCCCTAGTAATTTGATATGCTAAATTTAGTATTTTCACACTAGTAATTTGGTAAGCTAAATTTAGTATTTTCACGCTGTAGTAAGTTCAAATTAATTTGATAGTAGTGCAGAAAAAATAAAAGGAAAACAAAAGTAGACAGATTACTTCCAGGAATTTTTTTGTAAGTATTTTCACGCTGTAGAAAGTTCAAATTAATTCTAGGATCTTATTTATGCATTGAAGTTTCATTTAGTTGATTATTCATCCATAGTTCATCCCTTTTTTCCGTAGTCCTTTTAATTACGTTGGTGAGCATACTAACAAAGAGAAAAGTGAATAGGTTTTTGACTTGGATAATATAGTTGGAATTATACTTGTTTTCTGGATTTGCATATTGGGAGTAGTCAAAGTGCACATGTTGAGATTGCTTTTTTATAACTTCATTCATAGATAATCACTGGTATTCGTTTTAATTTAATTGTGGAACTAAGTTTCAAATCATTATATAGATTTTCTTATTTCTCCAAGTATTAAGAAACACTTTTTTTTTATTTTTTATCATACTATGGAAATAGTTTTGACGCGTAAGAATGGTTAGAACGATCAGAAAACATAATAAGTAAGAGGGCTTTTTTTTTTTAATCGCGTAGATTGTTACTAGTCAGGACAGTCGGAAAATGTAGAAAATTTAGTGCAATTGTTGTTTTTTTTTTTTTTACCGCACAGATTAATACTATTTAGAACAGTCAGAACGTTAACACCGAGCGGAGTGATCCTCGGTTTGAAAATCAGAATCCTTGATATGAACGGTTAGATTGTTCTGACCATATTTGATCGTGCATAATGATGTCCGATCTTCTAAGCATATCTTCTTACAACGCTGATTGATTCTCAAACTTTAAAGCAGACCGATCTTCTAATTGACCATTGTGTCGCGGTCACCCAAATGTATGAAAAAACTTAAAGTTAAATTTTCCAAATTAATGCGGATTTAATATAGCTTTAATATAAAAATACAACGCGATGTTATTGAGAATATAATGCTACATTGGTATGTGACAATAATGCACACGTAAATCTATGAAATCATTGTATATTAATCTAATTGTATTATGTTGATGCTATAAATATTGTGATATTTAATGTGAATTCTTCCAATTTTAATCTAGGTAACCTTTCCAACCGAGCACGCCCAAAAGAAACTTCTAAGAAGATTGGTCTTCTAATTGATAATAGTGTCTCGATCCTTAAATGTGTGAAATTATGATTATAAATATAAACTAAAGTTAAATTTCAATCGTCTAATTAAAAATTAAATTTTGTCTGATCCTTAATATTCTAGTTGACTAGTGCCTCAATAATTTAGTTTATGACTTATAATTATGGAATGGTCTCCAGTCTGGTATGCGGACCGGAACGACACTTGTACATTTCTCTATAAAATATGTACATTTCTTCTTTAGAATGTGTACATTTCTTCTTTAGAATGTGTACATATTGTATATTTTATTATAAAAGAAAATGTACATCTTTTAAGAGAAAATATACACGTTTTAAAGAAAAAATATACATATTTTACAGAGAAATGTACAAGTTCCAGTGCCGGATTGGAGACTTTGCCTATAATTATAAGCCAATGATTTCTTCTTATCGCACAAATTGGTACCGTTCGGAATGGTAAAAAAGCTAGTAAGATAAAATATGCTTACTGATTGCTTCCGACCTCACAAATTGGTGCCTGTCGGAACAGTAGGAAAAGATAGTAAGATTAAGGGTATTTATTTCCTTTTTCTCACCATTCTTTCTTGCATTGGTTAGAACAGTCGGAATGTTTAAGATGAATGGATTGGTTCTAATTATATCAACATGCAAAATGGTTTTCTAAGTACACAGTTCTTGCCGTGCAGACTGATGTTTACACTTTTAACGAAACTTTTATTTTAATTGTCAATAGTGTCTCACTCACAATTATGATTTTTTTAATATAACTCAAAGTTAAATTTGGCTAATTGTTAGTGTCATACAATTAAATTGGTAATAGTTTAACAAATTGTGTTCAAAAATAAAATTCACCAATTTTAGAAAATTATAGGGTTAGTGATTATGCTAGAGTGTTGCAATAGAAGTAGTATGACAACCTTATAAAAATCTATCGGGAGAAGATGGTAATCGAGATTTATAACAATGATTAGTTTTTGTGAGTACACTTAATTTTGATTTCGCATGAAAAACTAATTAATGATTTTATATAACATTTGATTCTAATTGTTGATAGTGTCTCACTCGTTCACAAGTATGATTTTAAATATAAACTAAAGTTAAATTTAACTAATTTTTGATACTATAGTGTTAGAGTAGTAATTATTTGACAATAATTCATCGATTATGCAAATTAGTAATGTGATAAATTGTTGTTTTAAAATTAAATATGTCAAATTATGACTTATAAATATAAACTAAAGTTAAATTTGATCAATTTTTGATATTATAGTGTTACATTGGTAATTATTTTGGAAAGTATCATATGCATTTAGTAAAATTCTAACCGAGCGGATCGTTCCTACAGGTAAGATCGTTCCGACCAATTTTAAATTTTCTAACCGGTGTGACCGGTTAGATAGTCTGCTCAACACCGTTCATTCGTCTTCCCCTTCGAATTACCGGATTTGGAGAAGTGAAATTATTCATTAAATGAGGAGGCTATCCATTTGAAGTTTTCACATTGAGTGCTAGTGTTCATAGAATGGCTTATTTAAGGTTATTTTTTAAAAGGGTCCCACCAGGATATTTACTATTGTAAACTACTAACTGAAGTAATATACAGAGAAAGGCAGGAAAATTATCTGCAGAACACAATGCATCCAATTCAGAGCATATTACAAAAGGATGTCATACCAAGGGATTTTCAGTAGGGACGATCCGAGTAGCCTGTAAAGAATAGAATCTCCGTTAACAACAAAAACAAGTAAAACGAATCAAAGCAGAAAGAAAACAATTTTGAGTCTCTATGACCACTGTCCCCGGTGGAAAATCAATACAAGATGTCCATTGTCTTAAAGAAACACAAATTACCAATTAACAATTCAATACTCTCCCACCAAATTAAGCTTTTATCATTTTTTTTTATATACATTTTGATATTTTCGTATTTCAATTGCTCTCTATAGCAAAATCTAAATAGTTTTTTTCCGTACTGAGAACAGGATGAGCTTACATTCTGAACTAGCGGATCATCTTCTCCAAACTCACCGACATTCACCACAAACCTTGCCTTATAGGTATTTGCCACCTTCTCCAACTTATAGACAACAATTAAAATCAAATAATCAATAAATAAATAATGAGAGAGGAAACTATATGGAGAAAGAAGAGTTCTATGTGAGAAGAAGGATAGGAGTTCATGCTTGTCTCTTAAGAATAAAAACTCAACCAAACTTGTATGTAAATAAATAGATTCTATTCTGTCTCTAAATGTAAAAGTAAAAAACACCAAATCTCTCACTCAAAATGAATCCAAATGGGCCAATACTTCTTTTACTTTGTTAACCAATCCCAACCCAATTAAATTTTTGGTTCCTAAAGCCACTGAGGAGATGAAACTTTCCGAGTTTGTTATAGTCTAATAGAACAAAACTTTTACATCATTAAAAGTTTGAATAGAGAGAGAACTGAAAAGATCCAGAACACCTTGAATCACACATAGTGGCATTCGAATACAAAAGTTGCTTTCGTTTCCCAACAAAAAGTAAAAGCAATACTCTTTCTGAAATCCATTCAGCAAACTTCAATCTTCGGTTGGCTAAAAGAAAGAACCTCACTCAAAAGCATTTGGGATTAAATTCCATTTTTTAGTTCCCGAACTATGTCGAATCCCATTTTAGTACCTAATTTTTGAAAATATCTCAAAACAAGTTCCCGAACTGCCAAAAATAAAATGGTCAACTACATTGATAAATTAAAAATTAGATAAACCCGAGCCTAAATCACCAAACTAACTACTCGGGTGAGTCATTCTGAGATTTACGCAAGCCATTCAACAAACAAGTAATGGGCATACGTGTAAGTCTACAAAGTGAAAATACAACCCAAGTTATATACATATTACGAAATAACCAACCTGTTTCAGAAGGCGGGTCTGTTGGTTGACAAGTCTGAAGCCTCCAATAGGCGGTGACGACGAGAATCGGCGGCGGCGACAGCGACAATCGACGGCGGCGGAAGCGGGAATCGGAGTCTGCGACGCCGAGAATCAGCGGCTAGAGAGAGAAGGAGCGAGAGAGAGAAAGAAGAGCGGAGGAATTTCTGAAGAAGATGGCGAAGATGGCGACGAGTTTCTGAAGAAGGGGAAGAACGAGTTTTTGAAGAAGGGGAGGAAGGGCGACGACGGGTCGTAAAATGAGTTTAGGACGTTTGGTTGGAGGATTCAAACCATGTGATTCGAACCATTTTTTATTTACGTAAATTTTTTATGAAAGAAAATATTGTAGCAAATTATGAATCATGATTCGAATCAGAAAACGAATCCCTTTACCAAACATCTAATGATTTTTCCACAAAAAATTTGTTCTTTTTTTGTTACCAAACAACTGTTTTTGTTTTTTGATAGTAAAAAACTTCTTTTTGTCACCAAAATATGAATTTGATAGTATAATTATATTTTTCACTATTAAAATTTAGTACCAGAAAATTATATTTTTTATTACTAAACATTATTTTGGTAGCTAAAAACATATTTTTTGTTACTAAAATTTAATTTAGTAGGAGAAAGACATATATTAAAAAATAAAAAATAAAAACACTTTTTGATGACAAATATTATTTTAGACTCATTGTTCTAGTAACATTATAACAAAAAATATAGTTTTGAAATAGTAAGATTATATATTACTCTATGTGGAACATATACTTAATTAATAATATCACATATATACACATGAACATGTCTCTTGTTACACCTATACAAAATAATTAAATTATCAAATAATTGTTATACAAAATATACTAAGATGATTGTTAAAACTTAATATATGACATATTTATAAATAAATAAAAAACAATACATGCACAAAATGTAAGTTTTAAAGTTTTTATACGATTTGCTACCAAACACAACTTTTGGTAGCAAAAAACGCCTTTTTGTCACCAAAATAAGAGTTTGGTAGCAGAATCATGTTTTCTGCTACCAAAATTGTATCAGAAACTTATGTTTTTTTGTTACCAAACATTATTTTGGTAGCTGAAAGCATATTTTTTGCTACCAAATATGAATTTGGTACCATAAAGACATATATTAAACATTAAAAAAATAACGTTTTAATGTCAAAAATTATTTAAGACTCATTGTTCTAATAACATTATAACAAAAAAATGTAGTTTTAAAATTGAAATACATAAAAATCAATCAAATAGCGAGATTATATACTACTCTATGTTAAACATATACTTAATTAACAAGATCACATATGTGTACACATGAACATGTCTCTTGTTACACCTACACAAAATAACTAAATTATCAAATAATTATTATACAAAATATACTAGGATGATTGTTAAAACTTAATATAGGACATATTCATAGAAAATTAAAATAAAAGCAATACAAGCACAAAATATAAATATTAATGTTTTTATATGATTTGCTACCAAAAATAACTTTTGGTAGCAAAAAATGCCTTTTTGTCACCAAAATAAGAATTTGGTAGCAGAATCATGTTTTTCGCTACCAAAATTTGGTAGCAAAAAATTATGTTTTTTGGTAGCAAAAACTTGATTTTTCACTACCAAATTTTGGTGGCAGATAGTTATATTTTGCTTCCAACTCTTAGTAGCAAATGTTATATGTTTTGCTACCAAAAATAATTCGGTAGCAAATACCTCAGGCGGGAAAAAATTTTGCTTCCCGCCCACCTTTTGTTACCAAAACATGCTTGGTAGCAAAAAAGTCATATTTTGCTACCAAATTTTTGGTAGCAGAATCTTATGCTTTTGTTACCAAATATTATTTTGGTAGCAAAAAGCTATTGGCGGGATCCAAATTTCATTTTCTGCCATGCTATTTGTTACCAAATTATATTTGGTAGCGGATTGTGTTATTTTTGCTACCAAATTTTGTAACTAAAGCCTTGATATTTTCAGCTACCAAAGTTTGGTAGCAAAAAGTGTGTTTTCTGCTACTAAAAATTTTTTCATATCAAAAAGTTCGGTCTCTTAAAGTCATTATTCTTGTAGTGAGAGAGAGGAAGAGAGAAAGAGATGATCGGAAAGAGAGAGGAAGAGAGAAGGAGATGATCGGAAAAGAGAGAGAGATGATCGGGAAAGGAAGAGAGGAAGAGAGAGAGAGTTTTTTTTAATCTCAAATAATCAGATCTTCAATGTCATTTTGTATGAGAATTTTCTAAAGTTTATTTTGTATGAAATTTTGTATTAAATCTGATTTTTTTTTCTAAATCTAATTTTGTATGAAATTTTCTCTAAGTTTTATTTTATTCCAATCCGACGATACACCAAACGCAGCATAGTATTTAACAAAATCCCATCTAACCCAATCAAGTCTAATCCAAACCTCATAATCTTATCTAATCCAACATGACAAACAGGACCTATTATTTCTGTTATTTTAATGGGTATCACTGTCAATTACCAACAAACAAACATGCACATAATTCATATATGTATACGTATGTATCCAGCCTACATTGACAACTTTAGGGAAAAAAAAAATCCAGTCAAAGGGAAGGAGAGAAAACAACCGAATTTCAGGATATGGATGGAATGCTTAAAGCCAACAATACTTTGTATGTATGTCCGTTAAAATATTCAAATTAATTTTTATTTAGTCAAAGAGAATTGAAATTAGAATATCTGATCTTTCAAGTGGAAAAAACAAACCTATTGCAATAATAGCGACTACAGAACTCATAATGTCATTTTCTAATTGAACCAGAAAACAAATATTATTATTATTATTATTATTATTTATTCATAAGCCCACAATAAATAAATAAAAACTCCAGTCGATTACAAACCGAATGGACCGTTGCAATTAGAAGATTCAAGAAACTTACTCATAGATATATATATATATATTTATTTATCGTTTTGCCTACTAAGTGACGCATCTTTAACTTATATTATATCATACCATTCCCAGTTTCCACACCATATATACACATAAAAAACGCCCCGAAAATCCTTCTTTAATTACCATCTTCCAATAACTACATTATAACCACATATTTTTACTCTATTTGTGCACTACAACCTCATTGAACCGAAACTTGATCCAATATCTTTTAGTAGTATTATATCCTATTCCTATTCCTACAAGTCACAAACTTTATTTCTATGGCAAACCTAGAGAAACAGCCGCATGCAAACCACGTCACAAAGGAGTCTCCAGTCCCACCCTGACACAAAACGACTGTGGCGTCCCGGTCGCGGCACAGACAGCAGCTGTCCCGATCGTGACACTTAACGTTTAAAATTTAATTGAGGGGGTGAAAAAGGGAGATGCATGTTAACGCTAATTGTTCAGGAAGAAAATTTATTATTTTTAAAATTTAGAAGGTATTTATTTACAAGGCCAATAATTTAGAGAGAAAAGTGTACTTTGTCCATTTGTTAATATTCATCGTCCTTGTTGGGTCTATTCATGAATTGTGATATCAATAACAATGGAGGTCTACGTGCAAATTGTGTACTATTCTGAAGAAAAAAAGAGATAAATACTCTTTAAAAGTGTATAAGTCAGGAATATTTTTACTGTTACTCTTGATTAATAACTTTTTTAGTTAAATAATTACACTAACAAAAGAGTATTAATTAATAATAAGGGATAAAAATTCAGATATGTGCACTTTTAAATATAAATTTTGCAATTTTCTCGACAAAGAAAATATGATTGTGTCAGGTTGGCTAAATTTAGATATTAGCAAGAAATTATTATTAAAATTAGTTGAAGGGTGGGACGATAATTTCCCGTGCATTACAAAATAACTTAAGATTAGAAACATCTGTGACTTTGGAGTTGAACAACTTGATAAAAATGTGACTCTTAAGTGTTATGCATTAGAGGACAACATTTAGGTTCGATTGGTATAAGGATTCAAATTAAGATGATTTAAATTTTGGAATCATAATTATGATTCTTGGTTTGAACCTTAAACTATGGTGATTGGAACCTTTGTTTAGATGTGTATATGCTAACATTTGGTTTGAACCATAAATGTGATCTTAACTTGTGTTTGATTGTCTTGATTTCTGATTTTGAGCCATGACCAATACAAGAAAAAAAAAATTATAACTCTAAAATTATAATAACTTGAAAGAGAAATAAAGGAAAAAAAAAATTCTCCACAAAGCCAAAAAGAAGGCTAAAAATTGCCAGAAAGTACGGGAATCACAGTGTGGGGGTCATTACTCGAGGGAAGCACATTGTTGTTCACTGTGCTCTTAGGTTCCAACGGGCTGAATCAGGCGAGGGCCTGATTCCAAAATCAGGACCTAAAGTGATCCAAAATGTCATATCTGATTCTAACCCAATTGCATGATTCTGGGCTTCCAAATATGGATTCTCTTATGTGATTCAAAGTTAGAATCCGGAATCCACCTGCCAAACGACCACTAAGAGATTAAGACAAAATCTCGATGCACATAACACCGACAAATGTGATTTTTTAAACCTCTTGGGTCCAAAAGAAAGATAAAAGAAATTCAATTTATCTAGAAAAAATAATTAAGCCCCCACTAACAACAAATCTTGGGTCCAATCTTAAAACCTCTAAAAATTTTAAAAGTGCTACATTCTAAAGAAAAACCTCTAAAAGTACTACTTGATAAAAAATTCTACTAATCTTAACTTTCAAAGTCGGGCCCGTTCGGTTCACTAATTCGAGTTTTTAATTCGAGTTGAGATGTAATGTTGTGTGAAAGCTTTTTACTGTAGTAAAAAAGTTAGATGTGACTGTTTCTGAGAGCTTTTTACTGTAACAAAACTCAAATTCTAAACTCGAATCAGCGAAAAGAATGAGGCATTAACTAAGAATGAATACTAATTATCTAATAGTTTATCTACTTCTAACATAAACATTAACTCTACTTGTTGCTACTATTGTAGAGAAGGTATCTTCTGCTATGAATATCTATTACGCAATCGAATTAGAGATCAATTAATTAATCATTTTACTTATGTACATTAAGAAAATTATCTTTAATAACCTTAATATACAATATGGTTATTATGAAATATTTTTGAAGGTATGAAATCCTGTCGGGGACAATTTGAAGTACATTAATAATTCATATTTATTGAATTTTTGTTATAGTTAAAATTAGTTCCCTTTCATAAATATTTATAACTTTGTTACTGACTGAGATGAATATTAGACTAAGTAGACGTTTGGTTTACAGATTCAGAATCATTCACAATTTACGTTTTTTTTTTGTGAGAAAAAATATTGTAACGAACCATAAACCATGATTCGAATTATAACACGAATTATGATTCAAATCATGACACGAATCCTCATACTAAATACTCTCTAAAAATATATGAACATTATTTTCAGTCAAAGAGAAATATAAGAGCAAATACAACCAATCCGGCCTTGTTAACTAAGATAAGGCTCTCTTGTACTTGCATAATAAATCTACATATGTTCCAAATACATTTCGTGAAAAAAAAAAAAAAAAAAAAAAAAAAAAAAAAATTTTGGAAAAAAAAAAAAAACATTTCGTGAAAAAAAAAAAAAACATTTCGTGAAAAAAAAAAAAAACATTTCGTGAAAAAAAAAAAAAACATTTCGTGAAAAAAAAAAAAAACACCCTTTTAAAAATTTTTTAAAAAAAAAAAAAAAAAAAAAAAAAAAAAACACATTTCGTGAAAAAGAATCGTAAGAGAACACAAATCTTTTTGATCCTGAATTTCCTATTTCGGAATCATTCAAAAGTCGTTAATTGTTGCCATTCCCAACACGGGAAGTACCCAGAATAAGTCAAACACTGTCAAAGGAAGCAATACAGACGTACTTAATCCATTTCATTCCGTGAGGTGGCGCATAACGCGTCCAAATTGATCCAGTCCAATACAGCCGCGAACTCATTATTTCATTTGTATTTTATAGAAAAAGCGAACGCGTTATTCCATTCCTTCACGTGGCGACTCAATTTTCATATTTTTTTGAATTTTCATACAGTATGTGTGATATTTTATATTTAAAATTATATATTACAACATATTATATATAATATAGAGTTTAACAATATGATATAATTAAACGGTGTAAGTAGATAAGAAATAAGGTTAAAGATCTCTAAATTCGTCTCTATCTTGTGATCCACGACGAGTTGAATTTTTAACACATGTATAACCGTATTCATTTAAATTGGATTTTTGCTGCCCGTTAAAGCGCGTCCCATAGATAAATGAATTACGGGATAAAATTACTATTACTAAACTATATACGTTGACTTGTGGATACAAAGACAATAAAAACAACAAACGTAGTCGAGTAAAAAAATTTAAAAAAACGAAGGGAAAAAAAAAATCCACCATAATCTGTCTCCTTTGAGATTTAGTAATATATAAAAACATATTAACAAAAAAAAAAAAAAAAAGAACAAATTGAAAAGCAAAACCACAACTCCAATATTTGATGGATCCATTTAAAGATTATCCCCAACAAATACCGCCACACATAAAAAGACATTTGGCAATATTGTGATGTTAAATTAAACACTAATTTGAACCATTTAGTACAATTCGAATTGAATTATCTAGTTCTAATTGCTGAACTAAACAGGGGTAAGCAACTTTACAAATTCTGTAGGTGGACAACAGTTATTAAAATCTTGCTAAATAAAAACAGATTTTACTAAACACCTTAAGTTGATGTAAATTCTTTAACAATCTAATAATTACCTTAAAAAAAATGTCAAACGGGATTATAGTGCAATCCATGCACTTACCTTGTCAACGTCAATTATTCCATTGTCACAAGTCTCAATTATGAAGGTTTTAATAACTTAGCCGTCCACTACATATTCAACTTTATATCTTTTCAACTATATCTTAGAAGCCATATTTGACCCTAAATTCTTTCATCTTCACATATCTCAATTATTATAGCACTCTTCAACACTCAACTTTTTCGTCCAATAATATATATATTTTTTCACTAAACAAACGTCTTCCATGGCTAAAGCCGGCCCTCGCGGCTGCTGCTGCTGCTTTCTAAGCTGGTTTTTCGGGATCATCGTCTCCGTCGTCGTCCTCATCGGCGTCGCCGTCGGCCTCTTCTTCATCATCGTCAACCCTCAGAAGATGAAGGTCCAAATAAACGACGCGCGGATTTACAAGTTCAACTTCACGGAAGCAAACCAAACACATTTCCTCCATTACGACCTCGAGTTCAACGTCACCCTCCGCAACCCCAACAGGATCATGGGCTTCTTCTACGAGAATTTCGCCGTCGGGGCTTATTACCAAACCGACGAAAATGTCATGAGAAACTATGTTGATTCTGCTTTTATATTGAAACTTTACCAAGGAAAGAAGAACACCACCGTTATGCGGCACAGATTGAAGGGAACAAGAGAGGTGTATTTGCTTGATTCCGGCGAGCGTTCGAAGTTCGTGGAACGGTTTGAGAAGGAGAAGAAATCTGGGATTTTCTCTATTGATTGGAAGGTGGAGTTTAGGAGTAGAGTTAAACTTAGTGCGATAAAGATTGGGATTTTCCGGCCAAAGCTTCGTTGTGGCTCGTCACAAGTTCCACTTGTGAATGGACAGAAAAGGGTCAATGTTACTTCTAATGACGTTGCCAAGTGTCGTGTCAAGTTCAAGGCCACCTATTACGATCCTTCTGCAGCTTAGTGCCTTTTTTTTTTCTTCTTTTTTTTTTTTTTTTGGTGATGTGTGCGTGTTTATATTTTTCTAATTAAATCTATTCTTTTATTTCTGAATAAATAATTAATTGTATTCTTTTTGTATTAGATGATTTTTTTTCTTCCTTTATATATATGCAATTTGGATTTGTTTTTAAGGGATAATATTACAATTTATCTAAACATTGTATCCAAGCGGCCTCTTTGTCAAATAATTTACTATGTAGTAAATACCTTCATGCTTTTGCTTTGCTTTGCTTTCTTTCCTTCTTTCTTTCTTTTTACTTGATTGGGATTGAATAAAAGCAGAAGATTAGTTCACAAACATATAATGTTTACGGTAAGCCAACTCTTGTTGCATTCCAAAGTCGTACGTCCTCATTATCCTCGTCACGTGAATATTTGTTGTGATTACTATCACCATGTCCATCTTGTTCATGCTTATCCTATTTTTAATAACAAAACGGATTAATTAAGCAACAACAAACAACGGAACTGCATAGAAGTGAATAATGTAGGCAAGGCCCAAAGGCCCAAAGGCCCAAGGGCTGCCTGGCATGATTAAGCAACAAGAAACAACGGAAGTACATAGCGGTGAATAATGTAGACAAGGCCCAAAGGCTTTTTCGCAGGTCTGGCCGGAGAAATTATAATAAATAGCATATTTTTAAACTGCCAGTTTCATATGAAATACATAAATATATATGGTTTCTAAATTATGTAATATGCACATTGCATTTTCACCCTATGAGCTCTATATTTATAACAACACATGGCTTTTAATGGGATTTCGATTCCTTGCCTTAAAAATATTGTCCCAATCCCTGTCCATCCAATAAAAAGAGACATCATTTAGTGAATTTAGTAGCGTTGTGATATCTTAACTCCGTCTATTGTCTTCTTCCCTTTGCCTTTTCTTTTTTCTCTTTATTTTTTTTTTCAAAAACAAACTTTGGCCCCATTTGGTTTGTTGGTTCAATTTTATTAATTTGAATTCCTTTTATTCGAATAGAAAATTTGAATTGTGTGGTTTAAATTGTAGTTTGAACTAGCGTTTAGATGTGAAATTAAAATTTTAATTTAAATAGATAAAAAAATTAAAATTTATATTTATTAGGTGCAAAATGCAGAGAGAGTGAGCAATATTTTACTATTCAAAATCGATTTCAATGGTTGAATTAATGATTTGGATGTTGTCAATGTGGACCCATCTTCACCTTTGACTCTATAATGCACAACTCAGTATTTTTACCATTTATTATTGATTCATAATCTTTTTAGTCAAATAATTACACTAATAAAAGTGTATTTATTAAGAGGAGGGAGTAAAGATCTAAACTTATACACTCTCAAAGAAAAATTCTCCATTTTTTCATCTTTTTTAAGCTAATGAATGACGTGTCCTTTTTATATTAGATGGGCAGAGATTGGGTCAACATTTTTTAGTAGAGGAACCAAGAGGCTGTTTGGTTGATGTAACTCACTCGAGAGAAGCCCACTCGAGTGATGATCTTGGCCCAAAACGCGTTCGGTGCAGCTATTTCTCAAAACCAAACTCGATCATTAATTCGAGTTACCTACCACTTCCTAAGTTCATTGTCCACCCTGCAACTTGAGTTAACTTCTTTGTACTCCTACAATTGTACAGATCCTGAGGACCATACCTTCTCTTCACGCTCTCTCTCTCTTTTTGCTCATCCCTTCTCCTTACATGGTTTCGAATCCTCTTATGACTCCAACAACACAAAGGCTCTCCACTCGTTGTACTCTGGCAAATGGAATTAGTACTCTTGATGGATCATTGGATTGCTTTTCCCCGGCAATAAGAGAACCAACAAATAGGACGCCGATCTATGGATCGATCTCCCTCTCCCTTTCTTCCTCTCTCTCTCTGTCTCTCTCTTAGAGATATGGCGCTACGAGGTGGGCTACAACCTAGTGAAGGGGTGGCACAGATTTGGGTTTTTTTTTCCTCGGGTCATTGGGCTGGGTGGCGGCGACAGCGGGCAGGGAGATGACGGTACAACAACGGCGAATGATGATTTCCTCCGGCAACTGCAATTAGAGAGATAAAGCTAGTTGTTCTCTAGTTCTCTTGCTCTTGTTTAGAAACGAAGTTTGATTTAACGGGTTATAGTCTCCCAAGCCCAAGCAAATCAGATACATCGTGTTGGATTTTAGAGAAATAAACGTATGATTGGGGGTTTATGGATTGGAAATTTAAAATTTAGAATAGTATTGAGAATGTATGAATATGAATTAGATGGATGAATGGATTGTGTAGAGAAGAGGGAAGATTTTTTGGGCTTTTTTTTCCTTTTCAATTTTACCTTCCAATAAGGTGGAATTGTATTGATGATCTTATTATGCATTTGAGAGGAAGACGTATGATGTTTTTGTTCTGGATTTTAGTATTTCACTGAGCTATGGTGCATTTGAGAGGACAAGGGATGAGCAAAGAGAAAGCGTGAAGAAGAAGGTCTAGTTGGGGCTAATGATTTTTTTTCCTTTTGTTTTATTATTGTTTTTTCTTTTTGATAAAAGACTATCCATAGATTCCTATCTCAAATCATAACTCCGATAGGCGAGGTGTTTGCCGAAGTGCGTAGAGAAGATTAGCAGGCCTTATTGGCCGAATGGACAACACACTAGTCTATGGTATCAGAGACTCTACCCAGTCAGAAATGTGGCCAACGAGGACGTTGGGCCAAAATAAGGAGGGGTGACTGTGATAGCCATCAATCCCTTGAGGCACAAGGCTAAGAAATGGTAAGTTGTGCAGTCTCACATCGCCTAGGGATGAAGATATGTCCTGATTTATAAGGAATGACACCACCTTCTAATGGTATGAGACCTTTTTGGGGTGAGGCCCAAAAGTAAAACCGTGCAGGCTCGGCTCAAAGCGGACAATATCATACCAGGTGGGGGTGCGGGTCGTTACAGTTTCTCACATAAGTCGATTGAATAGAGATGCGTACCTTTCCCTCCCCAAGTGCAACACCGTTAACAACATTGGTGGGGTGACTATCCAACCATGCCATCCCCGTCGTAATAACGATAAAATTGTTATTCCCTTCTGTTGGAGCCAGAAGAATGCATTTACTACCATCCCCAAGGCCTGATGAAGGGGGATCTGCCGATGGCGTAGCATTATAGATAGTGTAACTCTCCTTAACACTACGCTGTTCATCCACCGTATGAGTTCCTATTCCATCTCCTACAGGTGTTGGGGTATGGCCTTAGGATGATTGCATTGCTTCCCATATGGCCTCAATTATTTTTAGTCTCTTATGCAGCATTGCCAACTCCTCATCCCTTTTTGATCTACCGATGGAATGAAAATAAGTAGACTTTTTGACAAATTAGGATTGCCCACAAACACAGCATGAGTGTTCTAGGTTTCTCAATGATCTAGTAAGCACATATTTAGTTCTTTGAGATTGGAACTTTCCCTAGGACTCTTATTCGATATATTGGTCCTAAAAAATTTAGAATAAAAATATTATAAATTTCTTGGCATATTTTTCATTAATCGAACAATTATTAAAAAGAAAAATAATAACTCACAATTAATTTACCAATATCTTCGCATTCTGGAATTTTGTAAGTTATGTCCGGTTTTTTACGTATGAACTACCATATAGTGACTCGATCTGGCTTCTCCGTAGTGTTATGTATTTGCATGTGCATTTAATTAAAAAGTATATTAAAGATTGTAATACAAACAAAAAGTAATTAATATCATTAAAAAAAGTAATTAAAGACTTACATAATCTTCCTATGCTTTCCTATATCCCCCACGAGCATTCCCATGCGGGTACTTGTACGATCGTCTTCTCTTATATGCTTCTTCAGAAACGGCCTATCGATCGTCACTAAGCTTATACTACACAAACTTCCTCCATTGCTCCGAGGTAATTGAAGGGTAGTTTCTAGCCACTATCCTTGGGAGTTTAAAGACTTAGGGACCATTCTTTTACGGCTTTACAAAGGTTGTGAATAGGTTCAACCTAAAGTCTTTATCCATATTCGCCGCACACGTATGCTCATATTTTTTGCGGTCTCTGGAACCGTGAAACTTTGAACCAAATCATGCCAAATTCGATTCACGTTATCCTTTTTTTCTTTATATCTCCAATCTTCTATTGTTGTTGGCACGCGTTCACACGCCAAAACACCGACATAACTTTGTAGCTCATTTTCTGCTTTTCTAATGGGGATATTTTTCTTCAAATTGCACTTCTATTCTTTCTGCTTTATCCTTCATTTTGGTCATTTCCTATCATCATCCGGGTCAAATTTTGTTCTTTTTCTAAGTTCATATTGATTTACCCCATCGAAAGTGCTATCCTCCCCAAATAACTCTCGTGCGGTATTAAGTTCTTCCTCAAACTAATCACGGCCTGCCATGTTTCCAAGAATTAAGATTTATACTAACTAAATTTCTTTAAATTATATATCAACAACTTGTATTCAAATAATACAAACTAACACAATTACAACTTGCAATGTTAACAATAATATTCTACAAAGTTAAATTAATAAAAATCGTAGCTTCATTCCTAACCCCAAACTTATAAACAACAACTTAAAACTTCTTACCGCTTGATCAATTTTTAATCCTAAACTAAATAACATCTTAAGTATTTCAATTTTCTAACCCTAAACTAAAAATTACTCATGTAAAATTTTTTAAATCATATATAAACATTATATATTCAAATAATACAAATTAGCACAATTACAACTTATGATGCTAACAATAATATGCTGAAAAAATAAATTAATAAAAATTGTTGTCTAATAATCTAACCTTAAAATTAACCATCATCTAATAGTGGGCATTTAAACAACAAAACCTCAAAAATAAATTTTAAACAAAAATAACATTAAAATTAACATTTCAAACCTATGTTTACACGTAGATAGTGGACGACTGTTGGTGAAGACGATGGCGGCTGGTGGTAGTTTGGCGACAATGATGGCAACGGCAGCGGATGTTCCTCTTCAGAGGAGCGACGTTCGTGAGAGAGAGGAGAGCGACAGAGAAAGAGGGACGGTTCAGAGAGAGAAGAACGACGCAACGGGCGGAGAGAGAGATGGGTCGATGATGATGTAGCGACGACCAAAGTTCTATAGAGGTCGTGAAGAAGGAGAGACAGAGAGAGAAAAAGAGAGAGCGATGCGAGAGTTTATGAGGAATCTGGGTTTGCTCAAACATGATTATAAGGAATTGAAGTTAAAATTTCATATATCGCGTCCAGATTAGATGACAGTTTTACAATAAACCGTCGTTAAATGTTTTAGTTTTAACAACGGTTTAAATGAAAACCGTCGTCTAAGGTTTGCATCTGTTGGCGCACTTATTAGTTAGTAATAGAGACGATAATTATTTTACAAACCGTAGACAGCCGTCTATTAAGAGACGTTAAATCTAATGTTTTTTGTAGTGAATATTGGCGAGAGGAACATAAAGGTTAAACGAAGGGGAAGAAAAGACCAGATATATAGATCGATAGCAACACGATTTCCATACAAATATTTTACTTATGAAGTAACATGTCCCCATTGAAAAATAGCACACTCGAGCATATTCTATCCATTAAAATCACTTTAAAACCCCCACATAGAAAAATAAAAAAAGAAAAAGAAAAAAAGTGTCTTAGCATTATATTAAAATTTTCTAAACCGAAACTTTTCATCTATGCTCAAAGGGTGGTTGATGCTTTTTCATATTTTATTTACACCCTATGCATCAAATTGAATAAGTCACCGCCTATATAAAAGCTTATTTAGAAAAATTCTTTGTCTTGTGGCCTTATTTCTAATCTAGACGTCCTTTTCTTCTTTAGAATTTTGCAAACGCAGCCCGCCTTAAAAGTCAGGTCAATGACGCAATGCCAATGGAAGTTTCCAAGAAACCCCAACTTCTCAGAAAACCTAATACACGTAAGTCTTTATACTTGAAATGCCCTTCACAAAATATAATAAAACAGGCTCACAACATTCCAAAGCAAAAGCAACCGCGTCGATTTCGTTACGTACACCAATATAATAACACGCTCCACGTGCCGTATGTTTCCAAATGCTTCATTTACTGGGGAAAAAAAAAAAAAAAAAACACGTTTTCAGCTCCCAAGTATTTCCTAATCCATTCTCACCTCTATCAATACCCCTTATTTATACCAAACTTCTCCTTCCAAATTTTCCATTCACTAATCTTCCAATTCACAAAATATCTCATAGTTTATCCTCTATAGTTCTATCATTCTCTCTCCTCACTTTCGCGTATGGCGGAGACAACCAACTTGAACGGGGCCTACTATGGTCCATCGATCCCTCCCCCATCGAGGCCGTCCAAGTCCTACCACCGCCCCGGCCGCGGCGGCGGCTGTGGCCTCTGCGGCTGCCCCGCTGCCTCTTCAGCCTCATCTTCAAGATAATCATCACCGTCGTCGTCATCGTCGGGCTCGCCGCCCTGATCATCTGGCTGGTCTTCCGTCCCAACAAGATCAAGTACCACGTCACAGAGGCCACGTTGACCAAATTCAACCTCACAAGCGACAACATCCTCCACTACGACCTCGCCCTAAACATCACCGTCCGAAACCCTAACAAGCGGATCGGCGTCTACTACGACCGGATCGAGGCGAGGGCGTACCTCGAAGACGAGAGGTTCAACACGAAGCTGCTGCCGAAGTTCTACCAGGGCCACAAGAACACCACCGTGCTCAGCCCGGTGTTCAGCGGCCAAAACGCGGTCGTCCTCAGCGGAGAAGAAAAGACGGAGTATGAGCAGCAAAAGAAAGCTGGGGTTTACGACATTGACGTGAAGCTTTACCTTCGGATTAGGTTTAAGTTTGGTAAGGTCAAGACATGGCGTTTGAAGCCCAAGATCAAGTGTGACTTGAAGGTTCCGATCTCCGCCGATGGGAAGAGCCCCGCCGTTGGGTTTAAGAGGACAAAGTGCGATATTGATTTTTGATTATCATGATCAGTTTTTGAATATTCTGTTTGATTATTCACTGTGTTCTTATTATTCTTTTGTTTTTTTTTTTCTTTTCTTTTCCTTCGTTGTAGTATTACTTTTCATTGTTTACTTTTTGCCGTGGGACATGGGATTCTGATTTGCTATACCATATGTTACGTATGTGAATAAATAAATATTGGATTTTAGTTCTTTTAAATGTGTTTCCGTGGTGATTGTTATATAACTTCTGACTTTTTTATTTTATTTTATTTTATTTTATCTTAAAGGCCTAATTATATTAATGCATATATATGTGCACCGGAGAAAAAAAAAAAGTCTTCATTGTACAATGACATTTGGTTATTAACAATGGTACAATTGGCTTATTAATCTAAAATACGAAATGACCCATTCAACATGCAAGTTGCAGGCAGTAGTTGAATTGGCAACTTGTCACATGTCATGCTTTTGATATAATCATTAATCTTTCATTTATGTTGGCATTTTAAATTGCAGTTTTGATATTTTTTTTCCTTGGTAGAAAAAATTGCAGTATTTATATGGACGGACGAAGGGACTAATATTCTATCAAATATTATCGATGAATAAAGTTAATTGGAAAGCAAATGGTAATAACGTTGGATCTTCGGCATTACAATTCTTTTGTCAACAAAAGGACAAAAACAACAGAGAAATAATATTGCATCAAAAGTCTTTTGGTCCCAATAGCCCATAAAAGGAATAAAAACTATGAAAAAAATGATAGTACATAAATTAATTTGACATTGGACTACCTTTTTTCAGAGAAAAAAGGAAAAAGAAACTACGCTAATTTGTATATGGTTATTGCACCAGTGAAAAGGAGTTCAAGTTCCTTCTCAACTTTACGTATATAAAAGTTTGAAAATTCAAATTCAGAAAAATCTGAATCATAATTGCTTAAGATCAATTCAATCTGAATAATGAAGCACAAAATAGGGGCATATCTGAGTCAAGTATTATGAGGTGGAGTACTATTAACTCTGTCTATTGTTGACTTGTTATTTGAATGGTTTCAATTTTATAGTGGTTATCATCAAATATAAAAATTTAATAATGTAATACAATAATACTTTAATTTTATTAATTTTCACGAATTGTTTTAATCAATTATTTAATTTTATTATAACCATATCTTACAGTAATACATACTAATAAATAAATAAATATTATAGCAATTATCAAAACTATGGTCTAGTTCATTTCACCGATTCAAGTTTTCAATTTCAATTTTGCTACAGTTAAAAGTTCTCACAAAAAGTCACATCTAACTTTTTCTTTATAGTAAAAAGCTTTCACATAAAATCACATTTCAACTCAAATTGAAAACTCGAATCAACGAACTGAACGAGGCCCACGCTTTCCACAAAATTTGGTGAGTTATCCTTCCAAATTCTAGTTAACGCACCCGAAGTCAAACACATACCCTGAGTTTTTTTTTTTAGATAATTAAACGCATACCCTGAGTTATTAGGAGCCCGTTTGGTTCATGGATTAGAACCATGCGATTAGAACTATTTTCGATTTACGTGTATTTTTTATGAGAGAAAATATTGTAACAAATTATGAACTATGATTCGAATTAGAGAACGAATCCTCCAACCAAACGGGCTCTAGTTACGAAGTTGATGTTGCCAGGCCATGATATGCATGTATTGATTTTTATAAGTAATCACTTTCCTGAGCAGTCATAATCAGTAAACTGACGTATATAATCGCGTGAATAATTGTAGCTGTGATGCCTTTGTCACAATAATTTCTGAGTAACAGCATAATAATAATAATAATAAAAATTTTCAATAGTATAATAATGTCAAACTGATCCTAATTATGTTAGAAAAAAATTAAATAAAATTGTGCTTGCTGATTTAGACGCTTTAAATAGAAGGCCGAAAAAGGTTGCTTTTTCAAAAGTCAAAACCAATAGCTCGGTCAGTATTTGATTTTTTATGTGAAATTAAACAGGTTTCAGATCATATGTTCACATTTTTCAATTGAGGAAGGAAGAAATATATGTATGTGTGGGGGGGTATTGAGTGGTAAATTCTGGCTGTTTGACCCGATCCATTAAAGGAGGATTTTTGGGCCAACCCGTATAATATTGATTCGAAACGGGATGACAATGAAATGGAAGTCCAACCACCCGACTATGAAATCTGAAAAATCCTAATTGCCTATATATATCGTGTTAGGCTTAGCTCGACTCGGGTGTTTAATATGAGGTAATCTTATCGGGGGAATGATTCCCATGTTTAATATAATTATTGAATTTTTTAAAAATTCAAGAAAATAAAGTCCATAAATTTTACATTACCACATTTTAAAATAATCTTAAAACCCACCTAATTATTGAATTTTTTAAAACTTCAAGAAAGTAAAGTCCATAAATTTTACATTACCACATTTTAAAATAATCTTAAAACCCACCTAATTATTGAATTTTTTAAAACTTCAAGAAAGTAAAGTCCATAAATTTTACATTACCACATTTTAAAATAATCTTAAAACCCACCTAATAGGCTAGGATCAAGTCAATAGAAATGCGGGTCAAATTCAAAATGCAGGCAACGAGCAGGCTTATTTTATCTGACACATATTTATAGCTTCATATATATGTTAAGAGTCATAGCCAATACATTTATAGTGCAATTCTTTTAAAAATTAAGATACACGTCGTAATCAGGGTAAAACAAAAACACGAGCTATAGTTGGGGGTAAATTGAGAGTGAGCTTAGTTCATGGGAGATTCTAAAATATGAAAAATAGAAACATTGGCATATGTGAATTCCCATCAATAATTTATTATTCAAGGGGTATATTTTCTTATATTTTAAAGTTTGAGTGGTTCATTTAGACACAAATCATAGTTTTTAAAAATTTTAAGACCCAGTTCATTTTATTGATTCGAATTTAGAATTCGAGTTTTGCTACAGTAAAAAAACTCTAAAAAACAATCACATCTAATTTTTTTACTACAGTAAAAAACTCTTACATAAAGTCACATCTGAACTCGAATTAAAAATGATTTTGAACAGTAATCCCCCTTCAAATGGCTTTGCTTTGTTTCTCTTTTGTTGCTATCCGTGTTGGCGCTTTATAGGCCTTGTGCCCCCTATTGTTTGAATGAAAGTTCAAATTTAACCAAAATAATAATAATAATAATAAATAAATAAGCAAAAAGCATTCTCTATTAGATTGTGAAATGTTTAACCGAATCACTTCTGCTACCCATACAAGCCCACATGTAACCGAAGTCCCAACCTGCCGGAGCATCACTTTGACCACCGCTGGTCCCACCACTGGAAGAGCACATCTAGAGGTATGACCTAAAGACTTCTAGAAGCCACCGCCATTCACAAGCGGAATCTCTGAAAGAACTCCCTAAATTACCCAAAATAAAGGAATCTCTCTTTAGATTTAGAAAAACCTCAGCTACTGATGTCTGATAACACATTAGGTAATGAAAAGTTCGGAAGGTTTAGTCCAGAAAAGTAAAGTCATTTTTCATGTTGTTTAAAAGGGAGTTCTCTTGTATGGTCACAAAAAATAATCTACTAGTAGTTCATTATTTTGAATCGTCAGATTTATATCACCAATTACTTATTTGTATAATTTTTTAATTAGACGTGATTCTGATGAAATCTAACAATTAAAAAATTGACTTTATCAATAAAGAGACTACCATTAAAGGTCACTTATTTAAAAATTATACTTAAAATACTAATTTGAGTTTTTAGAATTGTATGGCATTGGCAGCCATGTGGCGGTGTCAAGTTCATATATTTGGGTAGTAAGTTTTGTGGGATGTGCTATATGGCAACACACGAAATTATATTTAACTTTTTTTATAGTTAAATTTTTTTACATAAAGTCACATCTTAACTCGAATTGGCGAACTGAACGATACCACATTTTTATAGAATATTTCCATTAAGAACCATTAAATTTTAATTCAATAGTCAAACTCATTCACCACAAGGAAAAGCAGCATTTTCTAAAGTTGAACCTCCCAAATCAAGAAAGAATCTTATTCTTAATAAAATAAATGACAACATTAGATTTTGGGATCTTCTTAATCAAAGATCCTCAAATTTTAAGAAAATGAGCCGTCGGCGTTAGCAACCACTCTTTAGGCATTATCGAAGAGATTGTTCCATGACAGAATATTCGCTAAAGATCTTAATGATGGGCCTTAGTCCTCAACCACCCTTAACAAAGAGCATGTCACCTCTAGGCTCAGCCACACAATGTGTTAACCGTAAGGATACCTAGAGAAGTAGTACTAGGCATGTTAAATATAGCATTTGTGGTGGAAACAAACTTTCACATCCAAAACGTAGGCTCGTTCACTTCGCTGATTCGAGTTTAAAATTCGAGTTGAGATGTGATTTTATGTGAGAACTTTTTACTGTAGCAAAAAAGTTAGATGTGATTGTTTGTGAGAGCTTTTTACTGTAAAAAAACTCAAATTCTAAACTCGAATCAGCAAAGTGAACGGAGTAAGCTAAATTCAACAACAGTAGTCTTTTACCTATAGGTGGCAACAATTCCCATTACATTTGTTTACTGTTCGGTAAACGCGACTAGGACATAGTTTATGGCAGGTACAGCAAGGCTACTTGGAACTCCGGAAGTAGCCAAAGGTTGTTGACTTGACTCATCGTTTTATAAAAATCGTTTTCTGTACTTTGTCCTTATGACTTATCAACAGTGGCTTAGGAAATAAATGTCATTTAGAGAGATTTTTTGATACATAAGTTAAATTTTTTTATTTATTAAATTTATGTATTTTTTTTATTTTTATATAATTTATATAAATCTAGCAGTTAAAAAACTTAAACTTATCATACCGATAAGTTGAAGAAAGTCTCTGCAATTTAATTCGCTGATATCTTTTTTCCATTTTTGCTAGAATATTAGTGCATTGATTCTGATCTTATCCTATTCTTACAAAACACGCCAACGGCTAGAAAAAAATCCTCTCTTTACTCTCCCTTGTCCACAGATTTGGTTCTACAGCCAAAAGTACAGCGGAGGAAAAAAAAAAACAGAGAGAGAATAGTGCTGTAAAACACTGACAAATATCACCCTAATAAAGATGGATATGTATAATATGAACCTTATAAATAGGACCGCCATTTATTAGTTGTCGATCGTGCCCCAACATTTTTTTTTAAAGTTTCGTCAACTCCTAAGAGTACTACTACTACTGATAATCTTGACCTATGCAATAGCAAAAAAAGAAAAAAGAAATATTGACCAACGGTGACCATTATTTACATTAACATGATTAGACTAACATTAATCCGGTAATGATCGGAAATTAATATTTTCCGGCTATTTTTATCAAAATTAGTCACTATACGCCTACAAGCTCTAAGCTAACAAACGGTACCTCTTCTCTGCCTGCGGACACACCGTAACTCTCATGGACCATCGTCGACATCTTAAGCTCCTCCCTACTCGGCGAAGGCGAGGGAGTGTAGTACGGAGGCGAACCGCATGGCGTCGAAAACGGCGTCGCATCGTCCAACTCCACTGCCCCGGTAATTGCCACGTCGTCAGTGCTGATTACCGTCGATTTGTCCTGATCATCGTCGAAATTATCCAAACCGTCCGATATCGATCTCTGAGATTCCGCCTCCTCCTCTTCCTTGATCGTGAAGAGCATCCTCGACGGTCCGTACATCCCCTGCTCATGAAGCTTCATCACGTCGACTTCGATCTCCGCCGTCTGATCAGAATCGCGATGATCATGATCACGACGATGGTGAAGAGCGGGATCGTCGATTACGTTGATGATATTGACTTCATTCGGTTCGATTCGAGCAGACTGGTTTTTCCAGCAGAAGAAGTAGAGAAGCTCTTTGGAGGAGAGAACGTAGAGGGAGGAGGAGTCACCGGCGAGGACCGGGTCACCAGAGCTCCGGCGGTGGAAGCGTCGCCGGCGACAGAAGACGTAGAGGAGATCGGCAACGAGGATCAGAAGACAGACGGCGAACACCGCGATAAGCGCAGCCCCGAGTTTGCTAACTCCACCGCTCATGGCTGTGTTAGAATTTTGAAAAGTGTGGTGGAGTGAGGAGTAATTTGGTTATTTTTGGGGGGTTTGGGTTTTTGTTTTTTGTTTTTGTTTACGGTTGAGGGGGACGGGTGACCGGTTTGTTACCGGGTGAGGAGGGAAGTCTGGGCCCTAGGGGGACCTGAGAGGGACGGGTGTCACGGGTTGAGTGAGTTGCCGGTGGAGGAAAACGGATAAAGGCAGAAAAAGTGAGGTGTATGTTGTGTTTGTTGTTTGTCTTCTCGTAAATGTGAGAAGAGAAGATGAAGAATGTGGGTAAGACAAGACTTTTCAAGAAAATAAATAATTTTTTTAAAAAAGGAGTTTGGGAAGGGAAATTATGATGAAGTGGACGTGGGGAGAGTGCTGACATGGAGTGTGATTTAAAATTTGAAAAATATTAATTTAAGTACATCACGGAATTAAATATCGCTACTAATAATAAAAGATGAGTCTCGTTTATAAATTTAATGCCGTGAGATTCATCTTTTATTAAATAATTAGACATTAGTGGATGATATTAAGCATATAATAATATTTTTCTTAAAATTTTGAAAATTTCATTAATTAGGTGGATGTGAGGGTCTTATCAAATTTGTTTGCCATTTGCTGTCACCTTGGTTGGTGAAAATTTGTTGCAAAGTTGAACTTTTTGTAGCATGGATATCAGAAGATTTGACAAGGGAAAACTTTCTATTACTTAGTAGAAATTTGTATTGGTCGTCTTATTATGTGATCGGATTGTTTCGTCTAGCGTTTGATATATATAAATATATATATATATATATATATATATATTGAAGATTTGAAGTCAATCTGTGCATGGATCATTATAAGTTAGTTCTATCACACACACAAACATGCCTAAAAAATACATATGTTCTGACGGGTGTTCTCATTTTGTGGGAAGGTTCGTCGAAGGCAATTATCTAATTTACAGAAAATAAAAGTGGAATTTTTTTATAATTATTTTGTTGTAGCAAAGGAAAGGATTCATTAAAGAAAACAAAAGCAAAACAACAAAGCCAAGCACGAAGACAAACCTTTCCACTGAGGTGAAAAAAAGAGTTCGTATTATAGCAAGAAAACTGATCTCCGCCTTCAAATTCTCCATACAAGCATCAATTACAAGACTGAAAATTTCGAGTCACAAAGCCACGAAATTTCCTTCATTGAGGGAACTTAGTATTTATTAATCTTTCTACTTTATTTTTTATCTCTTCTATTTTTTCCCCTCAATGATCTATAAAGTTTAACTGAGTTTTTAAGGTTTAGCCTTAGAAAAATTTACCTACTTGATAAATATTGTTACTTGGCCTTGATTTTAGTACAATTTAATTTGAAACAACGAGGATATACTTAAACTTCAATTACTACAGGCAGTTTGTTTCATATACTCAAACTCAAATTATTAATTTTGTTACAGTGTTTTTCTCAAGTAAAAAATTTGAATTTCAAACGTCAAAATCAAGAATTATGGTTTGAGTATACCTTCCAAACGGATCCTAAATGATCATGATAAAAATTCTTAGAAAAAAACATAAAATAAAATTAAAAATAACTTGGTGTCGAAAATGAGAATTTATTTGACAATTTTATAAAACTTATATTCAGTGGTAGAGCCAAAAATGACATTATGATTATTTTAATTCAATTTAAATAAATTTTTGTGGTTTATGATTCAAAATATTATGAAATCATATATTATTATGGTTGATTTTTAGTTTAGTTGGCATTTCTAATTTGAAATATATGTATATTAAATTTAAAAGTTAAATTTCAGTGGTATAATTGAAATTTTTCCAAAAACTTAAGTGTAAATGTTGTAAATTATAATTTACAGTAGGGGTAAAGTAAGAAAAAAATTGAAAAAAAAAATACTTTTTTGGATTATAATATAGAAAAGCCAATTAAGTCAGCCAATGCTTATATTAAAGCTAACTTTTAATGGAAAAATTATTTAATTTGAAAATGTTATATACTGTAATAACAAAGTTTATAGAAGTAAAAACATTAATTAAGGACATGTGGGATATCGTGTGGCTAGACAACTTGTATGTCAAGTAGGGGTGTTCAAAAAATCCGTCAAACTGCGAAAACTGTTTAATCCAAACCAAATTCTTAATTATTTTTAGATTAGTGGACGGTTTGGTCGGTTTTTAATCTAATTTTTTTGGGCGGTTTGGTTTGTGGTTTGGACTCCTCAAACCATCCAATAATCCGCTCAAAACTCTATCATGTTTTTATTAGTTTGTATTAAAACTTTAAATGGTGAACTATTAGACATTTACTATTTTTAAGTTATATCGTAAACTTGAATTTTATTTTTACTTTTGTTGATTAACGATTTTATAATTTTTATGAATTATTAAAAACTTTTTGTTTTAAACCTAAACCGCCTAAACTGCTTATGAGTGATTTCGTTCAATTTGATTTTTATCAAAAATATCAAGCTGTCAAAAAAAGAAAATTTAATTTAGTCAATAATTTCTATAAAAAAAAAGCCGTCCACACCGCTCGCGAACAGTCCTAAGTAACCAATGGCATATTTAAACAGGAAAATAAGAATTTTGATCAAGCCCCGTTTATTTCGCCGATTCGAGCTTAGAATTCGAGTTTTGCTACAGTAAAAAGCTCTCAGAAACAGTCACATCTAACTTTTTTACTATAGTAAAAAGCTCTCACATAAAATCACATCTTAACTCGAATTCTAAACTCGAATCAGCGAAACGAATGAGGTCAGGCCATTTGTTTTCTACCGTCTGCTTCATCTACGTAATGTCATGATATCGTCATAAGATTTGCTAGTTTTCATGGAAATTGGTGAATTGTGGTTACAGACATAGCCGGCAATAATTTCATATATGATTCCATCACAAGACCAGAGTTCAGAAATGGTGAACTAGTCAACTCGCTTCTGCTCGAAGGCTCAACTAATCAACTTGTCAATGCCAAATTCAACGAGTGAAGTTGATCTTCATTTACTCCCACAAAAGTTTGTATTTATCACTACAACTGGACTGACAATGAGACTCGTGCCTTTGCATGTAAATTGCTATATTGCCCCTCAATAATCCGCCAAACTCTCCTTTATGTGGGCCCCCATGCAGTGACGTGCAGGCTTAGCTGGAGCGGCGGCCCATGGTAGAATGGACCGTCATGTGGTGTGGAGTAAATTCTACTTCATTGAAAAATGCCACTGCCACCTTGTTACCCAGTTAACGTCAATGCCAGAAAGGAACGAGATTTTGTCTTTATGGGCTTAGAGGCTTGTACTATTCAACTCCAACATGACTATTCAGCTGTGGGCCAATCAGTGACTAGTTGAAGTATCATTTGGGCCACGCTCAAACTTCAGACCTACGCCAAAAATCTATGAACCTCAAAATTTAGGGTTTGAATTTAAGGCGATTTGAATGATTTGATTTGGTTTGAATTAAAAAAATCTTAACAAAAGTATTTGAATTGTAATTGTAAATAAGAAATAAAATCTGAATTTGTGTTGGATAGATGTTAAAAACAATTATTTGAAAATTTAGTGTCCGTTTAGAAAGTACACTCAAACCATTATTCTTAATTCTGACGTTTGAAATTTATTTAAATTTTTTAGAAGAGAAAAATACTGTAGCAGAATTAGTGATTTGAGTTTGAGTATACGAAACAAATGAGCCCTTAATGGTTTTCTAAGAAAGCTTACAAAACCTTAATGTTCATGATAGATTTTTATGGGGTATATGGAGAGACATCTTCACTTTCAACGCATTGAGAGAAGAAAATTAACTAATGTGAATATGTGGAATACTTGAAGATTCCCCTGAAATTTATGTACCTTAGTAGGTAAATTAGGTGAATACGTAATTACACTTTCTAGTTTTATTTTTTAAGTTATCCTTTTATTTTTCAAAACTATAAAGGTATTAAAAAAAGAAAAACAAAACTTCTGTTAATTTCATCTCTTGCACATTTTGTAGACAAAGAAGAATAGGATGAAAAGACAAAAGTACCCTTTAATAGTTTTTGAAAAATATTCTGAACTTTTTCAAAATGTAGAGAACCCTAAATTAAACAAAGCATTTTTTTAGAAAAAAAAAAAATCTTAGATATGGAATTTTATGTTTTTAATGTTTAAAATTTTTAAAAAGTTTTCCTCTAGAAACAAAATTTAAAAATAAATTTGATCTAATTAAGGGATATTTTTGTATTTATTCCCTTGCTTCTTCCATCCATAAAGTGCGTGAAGGATAGAAGTTAAAAATAGTTTCCATATTCCATGAATTTTACTCCTATGAGAAAATTTTATAAATTAATGTTGGTAGGTAATTACGCCTTCTCTACAATATGCAAGTATCTAATTCTGTTTTCCAAAAATATTAAAAGATTTTCACATGTATATTAGGGATGACAATTTAGATCGTGTTCGCGTGGATCATCCATTCTCTACCTCCAGTAAGTTTATGCATATCATACATTTGTTCCTCTAGTTATATTTGCAAACTTTCAAATTTGTGCCTCGTGACAAGATTACTCTCTTTTTTTTTTTTTTCTGGTCTTTCTCAGTATGTATTTATGCGTGTATAACAGATGTAAATGCTTTAGGAAAACGACCCAACAAACATCAAAACCATGGTCATCGATCTACAAAAAAAAAAAAAAAAAAAAGAAATTCAAGACAATCCACAAACAATTCTTCCTGGTAGATTGATTCGCGTGTGCAATTCGAATCCCTCTCTTTTTGACCAAGTCTTTCTTTCAGATCACGCACATATCACGTAGTATTACTAGTAGTAATAGTGGTACCACTTCTCATCTCTCTCCTTCTCTCTCTCTACATATATATATATATATATATATACATATATATATATATATATATATATAAAAGTACTCTCCAATTCTCCTTGGATCCCTCAATCTCATCACTTTCAAATGATAAACTCTTAAAAAGCACGCACAGTGAAAGAGAAAGCGAATAAATGTGGCCATGATCGGTTCAATGACACTATATGTGTATATGTGTGTGTGTGTGTGTGTATATATATATATCTACATATATACATGCATTATAATTAGGGTTTCTTTTCTGGATCCGAGACTTCCCTTACTTTCATGTAAAAAGAATTTAAAAGAGGACGTAATGGGACAGTGACCTTATGGGAAAGAGGCATCTGTTAAGGACCCCTTTTCTTAAAGTCTGCGAAAGACTGGCCCTCAAGGTTTGTGGAAACTTTGTCTCCATG